CAGGTGCTTCAACATTTGAGCTGCCCACGGACTCCTTAAACAAGACACAGCTGTTGTTGGGAGCCGATGAGTCCATTTGCAAATCATAGCGACCCCATGTAACAGAACAGAACTGTCCCCGAGGGTTTTCCTGCCTGTAATGCTTACAGGGACTCCTGGTGTGGCACTGTGGTTAATGTGCTGGACTGCAAAATCGGTGGTTCAAGCTCATCAGTCACTCCTTGGAAACCCCATACAGGGTCACTATGGGTCAGAACCAACTCAATGGCACTTAACAACAACGAATCTTCACAGAAGATTGTGCCTCAGAGCAATAGGGGGAATTCAAGATGCCACCCTTCTGGTTCGCAGCTGAGCGCTTTACCATATGTGCCACCTCCTTTCCTAAATGGGATGTTGTTGTTGGGTACCGTTGAGTTGGGTCCAACTCATAGCAACCCTGTATAGGGTTTCTGAGGTGCAGCTGATGGGTTTGAACTGTCAGTGAAGTGCTTATCCAACAGCGCCACACCAGGAGTCCTTAAATGGGATGTTGTTGTTGTCGTTGTTACGTGCCGTGGAGTCGGTTCCGACTCATAGCGACCCTGTACAGGGTTTCCAAGGCTGTAAATCTGTACGGGAAGAGAAAGCCTCATCTTTCTCCCACGGAACAGCTGGTAGTTTTGAACTGCAGCCCTATTCGTAACCCACTACGCTACCAGAGCTCCTTTTAAATGGGATAATGGAAGTGAATTGCTTATTTCCTAGCACATAGAAAACATCCAACATACATGTTTCACATTTTGCAAGTATAGTCTCTCTTTCTTTAGCTCACATTTTGCTGTTACTTAAACCAGACAGAACTACTCCAACGGGGGAAAAATATGCCACACTTCAAAATATCAGATTTTTGCTGGTATAAAAGAAAAAAAAAAATCACATTTATTTTTCAAGGTATTTTCCTAAAGTATTATACACAAAGAAAAATTAATCTGTAGAAAAACAGAATATAATCAGGAAATTACAGAAGAGTCAACGTTGTGCTTAAAACTTTAAAACAGACAAGTTTAAAAAAAAAATAGCACAGCAAGTGAATATTGCCAAGATATGAACAGCTTTAAAAAGTATATACAAACACAATACTGGCAAGGAAGCTCAGTATTCAAACCTCTAGGACTAACTGACTTCCAGATGCAACCCAGCTACTGAGCAAACACTGCTTTTCAACTTGAACAGAAGAGAGAACGCTGCACAAACAGAAACATGGCCCTTTTCTAATACAAGTCCAGTCAACTCTCCATTACCGATAGCAACCGAAGAGAACATTTTTAAATGGTCATAATTCCAAAGTTCATTTTGAGAAGGGCCTTTGTACTTAGGTTGGACGTGAGAAGAAGCAGTGCTCTCACTGGAGTGCACAGCGCCAGGGAAACGAGTGGAGCTTCCAGTGAGCGTCCTCGTCTTCCCTCCCTGCCGGCACTCCAGCACCATCCCCACCCTCCACCCGCTCACCCCCTCAAGAGCCACCATGTTCCTCTTTTTGGTCTGAAAGGCCAAAACAGGTCAATGAAGTTTTGCCAACAAGATATGGGACTAATCAAGAGCCGACTGCAGAAATCTTTTATTTAACTTGTGCTTTTTTTTTTTCCTTCCTTGCCTAGGAGTATTTATGATTTATACTGCCAAACTTATCTGGGTGCTCCGACAGCTTTCTAAATGATCTGGTTGCATCCAATTACCCCAGTAAATAATAGGATCTTTGTGAAAGAGTTTGTTAGGAACAGTCTCAAAGGTATTTTGATGTTTTAAATAGGCCGGAAAGTGGAGGTTAATAAATAAGCCACCACTCCAAAATACTAACAAATCCTAGACCAAATCCAAAAAATATTTCAAGAAAATCACCCCTATAGTTTTGTTTTCATTTTGTAATGCATTACAACTGAACTAAAGTCCTTCCCTTCCAGGTAGGCACCTGTCTTTCTCAGGACTTACAGCTGGGTTTGATTGTGAATATATCAAACTGTTACCAACCACAAAAGCATTTTAATTGTATTGTCACGTCTTAGAAAAGTTATGAGCATATTTTAAACTGTTGTAAATTCTAAAATAAATCTTGGTTAGATAAGAAAGCTAAATTTGATATAGCCTTTGTTCTGTATCTTCCTACCTCATCACTTTTATACAAACTTTCAAAATGTGGGAACTGTGTCAGGTTTTCAAGAAAGCCAGTTCCCCCATCCACACATCCCCAGCCTCTGCTCCAAGTGAGCCCATGACCAAGTCCAAATTATAAAGCTTTCGTTTCTCTCTATGTACAATTAGTCAAAAGGCTATTTAACATGACTGTGTTCAATGTCTATAGTACATTTTACAGTGTAAAATTTCTTAAAGTGCCTATAAATATGTTTATACAAATTAGCAGTATAATATATGAGTACAGAGGAATTTTTTCATATAATATAGAGCAGAAAAGGTGTAGAATTTAAGTTGCTACTAATATATGTGTATATCCTTATCAGTCATTCTGGAATGCAAGCATAAAGAAAAAATTCTGGTTCAATTACATATGATTTTCAGAGAATTATTAATATTAAAACTACTAGAACAAAACCGAATTTTTGCTTGTGCTTACTTAGGAAAGGCTGTTTTGAGATCCAGGAGCATTTGCTATTTAGAATCCAATGGAACAATTCTATAAAATATACAGTAGTTAAGTGCAGCTTAGTGAGCTTTTAATTAGAAAGAGATTGTGCAACATTAAAGTGGTATCAACCATGATTAAATCCAAAGTCCCACTGAAATCATGGCCAATCTGAATGGCAGTTCATGAATTTAAAAAACAGGAACCTCGGCAAAAGTCATAGATACTAAGCAGAAAGGGTGCAACTTGAACACTTACCCTAGTTTCAGAAGTGTGGGCCTGAGACCACGCATCTTCACGGCTTTAGAGAATCAGCGGTTGATTCCTATTTAACTTGCGGGATCAGTCAGAGAAAGAAGGCCTCACCCAAGGCGGCTGGGTGAACTCACTCTCAGAGCCGCAAGGACAGGGCCCTGACCTTGCTGTCACACCCTGAGAACAGGGCAGACTGATTACTGGGCTCAAGGCAGACACCCTTGCACGCCAGCCTAGGGCACAGAAGTGTACCGAGAACCTTCCACCAGGAGAGACAGAGGCCACGCTTGTGCCTTGTCTCTCCTTGGACTCCTCTAAGTGCCTCATGTGTGACCTGTTGAGCCTTTAAGTTTCAGTGCGTGGAGACATGCAGCTGTATCTCATCTAGGGAGGGCGGTCTTAACTGCCCTTAAAGGAAAAGGCATACTCTGCATTGCTTTAAACCCTAAGGATGTTTTTGGTCCCTACACCTAACAAAAAGTTCTTGTAAATCACTTAAACTTCACACATAACTAGGAGACTAGATTCTTCCTGCAGTGGTTAGTGGAGCATGTCAAACAGAGACTTTTAGGGGTGTAGTAGGGGGATACAACAGGTGTTTTGTTATTTCTTCCAATACTAAGGTGACAAAGAAAAGGAAGAGCTGGTCAAGATGCTGACAGCACAATTGGTCACTTTACATGCTCCCTGAAAGTTAGGACATCAGGGGTATTTCTCTAGCTCCAACTCTGACAGTTCTAACTCCACTATGCCATACTTCAAGTTTCCTGGAGTTTTAGTTATGCCTCACAGAAAGAAGATTCAGAGAAATGGCAACTCACACAAGGATACCCTATGCACATGAAGATGAGGAACTGATTTCTGAAGAATGCTAAGTAAAAAATTTAGAATTATGCCACTATTTTGTGCGTGCGTGTGTGTGAGAAAGCGAACATTTACAACAGACCATGACCATTACTGTAGTGGATGAATATTACACAAAATATTTTCTCCTGACTTAGCAGGGAACTATTTCAGCTGCTCTTGCATTTGCATAAAAACCCCATGCATCATATTGAATTCTAATCCATTTCTCACCTAAGTCATTCTAATGCTTCATACAACCAAATGAAGCAGAATTAATCAAACCTATTAGATTCATTCCTAATCCCTAAAGGACTGCTTTCTTTAGCATTTCCATGCTAACTACAACTAGTATTGATTTTTTTTTTTCTTAAGTCTTTAGACTTGGCAGCCTCCTAAATATAATACCTATATAGTTTCCTAAATGTTTTTCCTAGATTTGAAGAACAATTAAGGAAAGCAGGGGGAATGTTGGGGAACAACCCCCACACACACACTAAGAGGTCAATTCAAATGCTGCTCCTTCTTCCCCCATTGCCCATCTCTCCTTCCCTGGGTTCCTGGGGCATTCTGGTCCTGCTCCCTGTGTTAGCTCCCTTATTGGACTGTGGAACCAGGTCTTATTCATTCCACCTACAGAAGATAGGTGCTCAGCTAAAACTGGGTCAAGCATGAAATTGAAGGTGACATCTCTTCTTAGTAAAGATCTAGCCCAACCCCAGGTTCTGTAGGGTTGTATAGACACTGGTCAAAACCAGGGGCAGAGCTGGCCTCCAGTCACCTCCCAGAAGTCAGCTAAGGAGTATGCACCCCACCCTGGGATTCCCCACCCAGACATACTGCAGGTGGTGGGAGGAAGAGTGGGTGACGTCTACCAGTGCCCACTTGGAAGCGGACTGCAGATGGGACCTGCAAGACAGGCCAGCAGGCATGGGAGAGTACGTCTGTGAAGGACTGTTATGTAGAAAATACTGTCTCCTGCACTCTGGGAAGGAAGCTTCTCAGTCAGATTCATGAGGCTGTGGCATCACTCCATCGCCTTCCAAGTTCCTAGTGAGGTTAAGGCTGGCTCACATCTCATGACCCCAGATGCTACATAGAAAGTAAGTCCAGGTACAAAAGAAAACCATCGGTAGTAAAAAGAACGTCTGAGCTAGAAGACTATGTCAGAGTGGAGCTACTCAGCAGACATGGAGCTGCTACGGGTGTTAGAGAGGGGTAAAAAATATCAACTGCGCTGATAAACAGGATTCATCAGGCAAAAGTATAAAAGTTCAGCATGGCCTGAGCTCTCACACGGTGGTTTCTATTGTTTCAATCACTTCCAGGTCAGACTGGGACGGGGAGAGGAGGGTGCACTCGTCTGGCTCCCAGCTGCTCTCGGGACTGTAGTCTTCCTCTGAGCTCAGTTCAGCACCTTCCTCTGTGTCCTCATCACATGACTCCACATAGTGAGCCCCAATGGCATTGATCCCCGAGTCCTCAGAACTGGAGGGAGAAGAGCAGTGATCGATTTTTGGTGTATTGCTCTCTTTTGAAATTAAGGCATCGTGTGCAGAGATCTCCTCGGGGCTGGTTTTGTGGGATGGTGGTGCGGGCTGCTTCTGCACGTAACACATCTTTCCATTGATGCATTTCACCTGATAGTTGTCAATAAAGAGATCTGAGATCGTACAGTACCTCGGTGAGTCAGGGGGCAGGGGCGGCTGGAAGACAGACGCAAATTTCAAGAAGTGTTCGGTGAGGGAGACTGAGATCTGAATGGTGTTTGTGGGTTCCTGAGGCTTTGCAGGGATCTCAGTGCTGGGGAGCTGTTCCACGGGGGTCATAGGCTGATACACGTATTTGCCTGTGGGGAACACAAAAAAAAGATGAACGTCAGCTAACGCGGTTTCTTTCTGAGGACTCAGAATGTCTTTTAAAATATTTGAACAAAAACATCTAAAAAGAAACTAGTAACAGAATCACTTCAAATTGTTCTAATCAATGAAAAACAGAACATGATCTATATCAATTTCCATCTAAGAAACTCAACATACCTTACAAATCTTAATGTATAAAGTCTTAATTTGTGAGTCTTTCATAAGCCTCTGATATGTAAGTAGGTAGTTACTAACCCACTGCCATCGATTTGATTCTGACTCATCGCCACCATACAGGACAGAATAGAACTGTCCCATAGGACTTGCTAGGCTATAAATCTTTATGGAAGCAGAAATAAAAGGTAAAAGCCTCATTTTTCTCCTGCAAGTGGCTACTGAGTTCCAAACACCAAGCTTTCAGTCAGTGCCGACTCACAGTGACCCTGTGTCAGGTTCCCAACATTGTAAATCTTCACGGGAGCGCAGAGCTTCCTCTATGTCCTGCAGAGCTGTTGGTGGGTTTGAACTACCAACCTCTCTGTTACTAGTCCATCTGTTATCACACTACAGCACCGCCAGAGTTCCTTACCTAGCACGTAAAGAACCCTTGAAACATTTTCACTTTCATTCTGAAGTATTAACACATGGAAAAGGTACAGCTGAAATTGCTAAACATTTTTGCTCCCAAGTCTGCTTCCAAAATATCACACAAAACCTATATGATCTGCTAAAGACTTAAGTTAAAAGAACCCAGTCAACATATGCCTGGAGAACTATGTCTGAAATATGCCTGGTATACTTAGTTCTCTGGCAAAGTTCAAATGAGCTAAGAACTAACACACGGGGTCACGATGAGTTGGAATCCACAGCAGTGGTGGCAGTTTGGTACAGTGTTACCCCCACCCCCAAGCTTTATGAGCAACCCCCAGTCTCCCATCCAAACCCACACTCCCAGGATTAGAGAGAGATTTCAGGGCAAGGGGCATCCAGGAAGGGTGGGTGGGTGATTATTGAGTTGTGGGGGCTCTGGGCAGTAGGCTCTCAGGAAATGCTGCTTTCAGAATGCTGACTGTATTCATGCTGGCCACACTTGTCACAGCAGGAGCTACCCTCACCCATGCTCTCAGCAGTCCCTCCGCTGGGGAAAGAGGAGTCTCTTCTATAAATGGTCCTGGGAAACTGGATTTCCACATGCAGGAAAAACAGCATCTACGCCTCACACCATACAGAAAGATAAATTCACAATGAATTAGAGACCTAATGCAAAAATGAAAACCATGAAATCCTTAGAAGAAAATGCAGCGTCAGCACTGTTGAGCCTAGCTCTGAACTATTACCTAATACAGTAACAGATGCACAAACAGCACAAGATAAAATCAATAAATGGAAACTCAAAAACTTAAAACTTTTCTTCATCAAAAGATTTTACAAAAAAGTGAAAATACAAGCTACCAATTGGGATAACATCTTTGGTAATCATATATCTGATACAAAATATACTTGTATGAAATGAGTCAAAAGTTATCCACACTCTGGCTGTAGAATTTAATCAACTTTTAGAAAAGACAAATACATCATTTTTCAACATAATCTCCTTGCTTTTCAATACACTTTGTCTATCTGTCAACAGGCTCTCATAGTCCCTTATTAAAAAATGTTTCAGGCTGAGCTGTGAGCCACAAATGCACCGCTATCTTTACTTCTTCTTCAGAGGTGAATCTTCATCCTCAAAGGGCTGCTTTCAGTGAACCAAACAGGTAAAAGCCCACTGAAGCAAGATCAGGACTACAGGGAAGATGCTTTAACACCTCAAAAGGAAGTTTTCGCAGAGTGTCAACAGTGTGGGCAGAGGTGTGTGTAGGTGCATTATCATGCAAGGTCACGATGCCCTTAGATAGCATCCTCTGCATTTAATCTGAAGATTAGGCTTCAGTTGTTCAGTGTGCATCTCACTGTAATGAGCACTGTTGATTGCTGAACCTTTTTCCTGATAGTGTTCCCATACTGGCCCTTGAGAATCCAGAAAACTGTAAGAATCAATTTTCCAGCTGATGGCTGACTTGAACTTTTTCTTGGTTGGCAATTGAGGATGTTTCCATTCCATACTCTGCCATTTACTCTCAGGCTCCTAGTGATGAATCCATGTCTTGTCACCAGTAACAATTAAAAAAAAAACAACTTTGACCTTCCTTTGAGTATTGGTCCAAATTTTGTTTGCAGATGTCCAAATGCTTCTGTTTATACTCTTCTTTGAGTTGTTTCGGTACACACCTCACACAAACTTTTGAAACCCAATTCTGTCGTGTATTATTTCATAGGCAGAGTCATGGCTGATGTGCATATGATTTGTCACCTAATCCACTGTCATTTGTCTGATTCTACATTATTGCTTCACGTGCACGTTCAATGTTGCCATCAACCGTGGACGTGGACATATACTTTGTGACTCACACTCATATATAAAACTTCAACAACTTAACAACAAAAAGACAAATGACCCAATAAAAAAAATGAGCAAAGGTCCTGAATAGACATTTCACCAAAGAAAACATTTCAATGACCACCAAACATAGGAAAAGATGTTCAAAGTCATTTGTCATCAGTGAGATTAAAATCAAAATCACAGTAAGATACCATCCACACCTATTAGGATGGCTGAGATTAAAACAAAAACAGAATATAACAAATCTTGATAAGGATGTGGGCTAACTGGACTCTTTTCTGGTAGAAATGCAAACTGGCACAGCCTTTATAAATAACAGTGTGGTGGCTCCTCAAAACACTAGAAAAAGAACTACCGTATGGACCAGCCTGGTGATCAGGAGGGGCGGGCAGACAAAACAGCACCCCAGAGGCCATGGGAAGGACAGGCATTTCCTCTTAGACAGTAGAAAGTTGTCACAGAGTTCTGAGGAGAGAAGTGAATGATCAGATCTGCTCTTCTCCTTGTCTCCATTTCTATCTGCTTCCCTCAACTGTTTGGGTTCTAAATGTCATACAAAGCAGTAAACAGACTTCTTCAACAATCAAGCTACCATCTCTCCCTGAGTAGCACATTTAGATCTGCAATAAAGCCAAATAAATAGTATATGTGATGGAGGGGTGGAAGAAAGTACAGGAACGCTGTATCAATGGGACTCTGATGATCAAGACTGCTCCAGTCAGGTTTCTGACACCCGGAAGTATGGGCAGCATGCACAGCGAAATCTGCCTTAAAATGACATTTCTGTAAGCGGCAGAGACCAACAGTAGAGAACGAAGCGGCCCACCACCCTCACCATTTTGCCGCAGGCAATCTGAAGAAAGAAATAATGACAGCACTATACTGTTTTAAAACCATGCTTAGTCCTACCTGAAGCCAAGTCTGGTGGTTAAGGGATTGAGGATATGCATCAAACGTGTGTATTTTAACAAGTAACTCCCAGTAGCCAACAAAGGGAGAAAAGGCATGTGGAATTTAATACATGCCTCTGAGAATGCAGTTTAGGTCACAAAGATACTCACAAACACCATACAGGAAAGAAAAGGATCAAGTTGTGATAGACAGACTGTATATAGTGGATGAGTTTGGAAAAAGTGAGGCACGGAGGGTGAGAAAATGAGCCCTGGTGGCAATGTGGGTTAGGTATTGGGCTGCTGCCTACCAGGCTGATGGTTCAAATCCACCAACCAATCCACAGGAGAAAGATGAGGCTGTCTGCCCCTGTAAAGATTTATAATCTCAGGGCCCCTACAGAGAGAGTACAACTCGATGGCAGTGGGCTTGGGAGGATTAAAAAAGGTCCACAGGAAACATGGAATGTAAACTGAGGAGCTAGAATTTAGACAAAAGAAGGTGGTGGAAATAGAGGTAGAAGAGTGCGGATGTTTGAGGGGTCTTGTAAAAAATACAGAGCTAGACAATGGGGTGAGTAGCCTGTCTGGAGCAGGGGGCTCTCTTACGACCAAGACCAGTCTTGATTCAACTATCTAGAGAGACTGCAACATACAGTAAGAGCTATTCTGCTGAATAAATTAGCAATAATTTGGAACCCCTTGAACTTTTGTTGTTGTATGCCGCTGAGTCAGTTCCTCCTACTCATGGCAACCTTGTATAGGGTTTCCCAGAGAGGGTGGTGGGTTTGAATTGCTGACCTTGAGGCTAGTAGTCCAGTCAGGGAAGACCCTTTTGAGAGTTAGAATTCAGGAACATCCTAGTAGGTTTGGTTAAAATAGGCTGTACTGGGTAAGAGGCAGGGGGTGATAGAAAATGATAATTTGCTTAGGCTTCCAGTTCCTTTCAGAGGTGGGGACTGAATAAGGATTTCATATAACAAATAGGTTTTCTCTCTTTCCATTGAATCCAGCAAGTGCCACATGCCTGGCTGGGGCTGTTCTGCAGAGCTAGCCTAATTCAATAATTGGTTAGAAACGGGATAGCTGAGGGAGCCTTCCCTTAAGAACGGGTCACAAGAGGTGGGATGAAGCATGAAAACCATATGTTGGAAAAGAAAAGAATGGCTGCTGACAGAGCATGCAGAGAGGCAGCCAGTGCTTAGTAAGGGTCTGCAATTTGCAGGGCAGGAAATACTCACAGAAGCCTGGTGTAGGGAAAGAGGAACAAATAGGAAAATGACTGACTGTTCAAGCTATCACCTTTACAAGGTGACAAAAGCGCATGACTCCCCTCCTTCTTAGCTAAAGCTGGATGGTGGTAATGCATGGCATGGCCTCAGATTTTTTTTTGGTAACAAATCTTGATTGTGTGAGCATGTTATGAGACTATTTCAGCTTTCTGCCTTTCTCTGTAAACATCACTGGTTCGTGTACTGAGGAACCCACACTGGACAACAGAATTTGAAATCTGCAGTGTGGGAAAAAGAAAATCCATTTTTGTGAACAAAGAAACTTCCTATGAGAGGCAGCAAATGTGGTGAATCTGGAATACACTGACTCTGGTGTAGTTTTCTGCTATCCCTCTAGAACACAACCAAATGGTTTTCAGATA